TAACAAAAATATTGAGTAAAAAATACAATAGCAAAAAACTCAATGTAAGGATTGACATGATTTTTGAAATAACAGATGATTTCTAGATAAGAGGTCTGATATGAGAGGCCTGAAGACGTTTCTGATGCCAGCGCTGAACACGACTTTCCTTCGCCAACAGCTTCTTCGCCGTCACGAGTAGAGCACCGGCTGTTATCATACCTGTAGGGCATATCATTGTGTGTATTGTGAGACAACGTATTACAAGTTACAAAGTTATATTGTATATAAATTCAATTTTTATTTATACACACACACACACTCTCTCTCTCTCTCTCTATCTATCTATCTATCTATATATATATATATATACAAAGTATTTCCATAGAGAATACTCCGTAATATCGACAACACATTTCTATTACAGTATATGTATTATATTATACACTCAATGAATATTCTGTGCCTAAGTATTAAATGTAACTAAATTTCATTTAAATGGGAATTTCAATTGAAGTGTTATACCAGTATTAAACATAACGAAGTATTTTAAGAATTTGTACTATTATTGAAAAACTATATATTTATATTAATATAAAATTCTATAAAATATTCAGAATATGTTGATAAATCTCTTTATGATATGCATAAAACCTGAACACAGAATATTAATACTTAATCGAAATAGTTTTCACCAAAAAATATTTTCTCCCATAAAATGAATATTTATTAAAAATATTTACCAATCGTTGCGTTGAATGCAGTCTCCGTTTGATTGTCTTTATTCTGTGAGTGTTTGTAATAATCTGTTAAATAAATAAATCCTAATATAAATCATATAACAATCGTATTATCTATTATTTAAATCATGAGAAATGAATTTTTAATTAAATACAAAAGCGATCGATATTCGCAGTGACGCGAGACTCATATTGTAAATAAATATATGTTTTTCATGTCTAGAGATATGTCATGCCATTAAAAATTTATCAAACTGTGAGACATTTGTTTGTGGAGAGAATAAACATAGAAAGGGATGTCCTATTAAATTTCATTATTACTGGCAGCAAAGTTAGCTAATAGTTTGATACACTATAATAGATTTTGATTAGGGGCCTAGTATTTATTATTTACAATCCAGATATGATAAACAATTTAATGATTGGTTTAAATGATTTTTAAACATTAGCCAATTTCCTTCAAAAATATTAAAATAACTTACATTGTACTAGTATTTTATGAAATTAAATCAGTAATTGTATTTAGTATAAAATTTAGAGTAGTATTCAGTAACTAATAAAAGTATAAATATTTTTAATTATAAGAATTCTCAAATATTATGTTAGTATTCATAGAATAATTGTTTAAATGAGATATACATCTCATACCTAATATGAAACATAAGGCCAATATAATAATATTCCAAACGAAACTGCAAACCGTGCCCATCAATAGCACCTTATGCTGGACCAGACCATGAAAACAGGGCCCAAACATAGCCACCAGTCCCGTCACCATCGATATGACAAAAGCCGTGGCCAACACTATTGTCAGCGTATGGGTCGAGTTGTCCTCCTGTTTCCAATAATTTGTAGTATTTTATTTAAAATATATTTAAATTTGCTTGTATATTTAGTTGCATTTTACACTTTGCTGACAATAAATACGTTCATACAATGAGAATATATAATAAGTAATTTCTTCACAAAGTAAAACAAACGGTTGAATATTTTTCTAACAATATTTTGTATGTACTATATATAACAAAAGTATAACTAATAAAAACTAATTTTCTATAATCAATAACAAATTCAATACCGGTAATTGTTTACGAGTACTGCATTAGATTACGATTTTTGTGTGCTCATTATAATGAGGTTTATGTAATACAATAGTCTAGTCAACATAAAAGTTTCGCCAAAATGCTTGACACTCGATGTCTTAAAATATAGCCTAGTTAGAGTTGAGCTAGATCAATTAAAATTTTTTTAAAAACATGGTTTTTCCCTACCAATATGTTCATATGCATCATTTTACCCTGATCAAAAGAGAATATTAATAAATGAGAATTTTGGAAATTATGGATTCTTTCAAAAACTATAACAAGTATCAAAGTTCTGATTTTGGGAAATTATGCGCAATGTCAAAATGAAAAAACTAATTTCTGGATTTCTTGAAATTTTGCCTTATTGATTTTTAAAAATTGTTTATTTGTGAGAATTTGATAATTTGAAATTCATTAATCTCAGCAACTACTCAATGGATCTGGATGATCTCAACTGTGTTCGAATTGTCTTTCAAAATACTAAATAATATTTGCTGGTACCGACCCTGTATTTAATACACAGAATATTCTATCCTAGAAATACATTTTTTCTATGTATTTATTTTACATCTGTTTTATTGTTTTACACCTTTACCTGTAATTTCACAATACATAGAAAAAATGTATGTCTAGGATAGAATATTTCAAGAAATCCAGAAATTATTTTTTTCATTTTGACATTGCGCATAATTTCCCAAAATCAGAACTTTGATACCTCTTATAGTTTTTGAGAGAATCCATAATTTCCAAAATTCTCATTTATTAATATTCTCTTTTGATCAGGGTAAAATGGTGCATATGAACATATTGGATGATACTTGTTATAGTTTTTGAGAGAATCCATAATTTCCAAAATTCTCATTTATTAATATTCTCTTTTGATCAGGGTAAAATGGTGCATATGAACATATTGGTAGGGGAAAACCATGTTTCTAAAAATTTTTAAATTGATCTAGCTCAACTCTAACTAGGCTATATTTTAAGGCATCGAGTGTCAAGCATTTTGGCGAAACTTTTATAATAATATAATATATCTCATTTATTTATTGTATTAATATTAATTCACTACACTATTCAAATGTATTTATAAACTATAAAACAAGAATTAAACAAAATGTCTAGTCAATTGTGTTTACTGTCTACCAGTTTATTAAACTATATTAGTATACTATACTATATTGTACAGTATTAATAAAAGTACTTATTATAAAATATTCATATTTTTGGCATAAAGTTTTGACATCAATATTACCTCATTATGTGTGGCCTCTAACAGCAATGACAACCAAAATAGGGATTCAAAAAGTTTGACAAAAGCCGATACAGAGGACAGTATTCTCAGGGCATTGGACTTCTTGTCGACCCTATAACTACTGGCCCGGGATTGCCGGTACAGGTAGTCGTCCCACTGTTGCGATAGTGTCGGTCGGAGTGTCGGCTTAACTATCGACACATTTGATGACATTTTTAGTGAACAATAATATTTTGCAACAAAATAAACAATTTATAAAATAATATTTTTAACACAATTTAATAAATGCAATAATTAATTAAAAACTATTTTGCACTTTGTTTTGATAACACACTATCTCATTATATTGTAATTAAAGAGTTTTGTTTGTTGCTTATTATAATAATAATGAAATATTTCATTAATTTGTTAGGCAAACCATATTTTCAATGCTAAGTATACCAGTACACTGTATAATCCGATGGAAAATATATGTCTCAAAATTCTCCCTAAAGTATTGAATGTCGTATTGTTTTCTAATTACAAAAGTAAATCTACACTAAATTTAATACAATAGACACCGAGTACACTATACTGTATAAATTTTATAATATAAAACTTTAATTATTGTTTATGTTGTTCACAATAGTTTATTGAAATATGAATATAATATAAATAAGTATAACCAATTTAATAATAGATAAACATTTGCTAATAATCTGATGTCGAAAATATGATAAACTCATAAAATATAAAACTTTTGAATACAGTGTAGAGTACAGTGAGTCTCATCGACTGCGATAACCTTTGCACTCGACTTAACAACAAGACTATTGACAATCACTATCTGTCCCACTAGTGAACACATGATTATATTTAAACGATATTAAAAAATTGATAAAATTAAATTAAATGCTCTCAATCGATTGAACACAAAACAGACACTATTTACTTGCTATACAGTATTCATATCAAAATACTAAAATATATAGAATAGGTTAGTAATTTTTTAACAGATAGTGAATACTCAGAGGCTATTTTTCCTATAAATGTTCGCTCATTCTTTGATTAAAATTTTTAAATTATTAATTTGAATTAAAATAATTAATATTTTATATCTTGTTTAATGTCATGAATATACTTTGATTGAGTGGCATACGTGATCATGCTAAATGTTGAGTACATTGATTGTATGCTATAAAAGCACTTTTTCTCGTATCCAAATGTATTGTTTGCACAAATGTTTACACAAATACAGTGTGTTTTAAGTGTCACAAGAATATGATTAAGAATTCATTGGTACTATTGTATTTAATAAATACTATTTATTGAGATCTTAGGTTTTCTAGACAATGGTAACTCTAGACTACGTGTATAATAAATGAACTGTAGAAATAAAAATGGATTTATATTTATTTAAACTCATCACATTTACCAGTATATTTTTAAAAGTAAAATTTATTTAAAGCAAATGAGGTTATGATAAATACTATCAGATAGAGAAATGTGTGATAATTATAAAGAAAATAATTTAATTAAAATGGATTAGGTTCCCTAGTTCTAGGCTATAAGTTATGAATACCTCTTATTTGTAAAAGTTATATTAAAGTTATATTTTTATCCAGATGCCTGTCCAATTTAATATGTTTTATATTATACGTGATAAGTGTACTGTTTCTTATTAACATGACATAAGAGTTAATATTCAAATCTGGGATTACTTTTAGCATCTAAATATGGTAGATTAACTTATTTTGTTTTATTTTGCAAATTATGTAGAGAATTTCATATATTAATTAAAAATTGTTTTAAAGTTAAAAATATTTCATAATTACTCTTTTAAGTCCACTTTTATATGATTTTAGGAATGCTTTAGTCTTTTCGAGAGGAGAGAGAGTGAGAGAGAGAGAGAGGAGAGAGAGTGAGAGAGAGAGTGAGAGAGAGAGAGAGAGTATTTTGTTAAAATTTAATTATTATTATTATCTAATTTACAGTGTTATCCATTTATTATATCATAGAAATTAGAAACAAAATTTTTAGAATATTAAAATAATTTTTATTCTTAAAATTCATAAACACTTTACAGTACTTTATATTTTACAAAACAAACATATTATTTATAGACAATATTTTGTATATTGATTTTATTATTTAACAAATGTATTAAAAATATGCGAAAATTATTAAAAATTTTGAAATGATAAATTAAACAATCACTTAATTGAATAGGAATATTGATATACAATATTAGATAATACTATATTTTATGATCATGGTGTTAAGTATATTAAAATACCATGTATAAACGGTATGCTATTGATATAATAATAATAGAAGAACACAAACAGGGCAATTTTAATTTCTAATAAATAACTCAAATAATGGCATTTCTCATATGAAAAGTCGAGATGACTTGCGCCCGATATTTATATCTCTTATGAATGTACTTAACGTTATTATT